TATGCTTTCTTGAAGAAGTGAATTTTCAATGGTTTTTTGAATGAGTGGAGACTGGGTGAAAGAGAAGGGAAGGGAGTTCCACAGAAGAGGTGCAGCCCTGGAGAAATCTTATTTGTTTGTGTTCCTGACCCTATAGGGTTCCTTTAACCCTGCAAAGGTAATTATTGCAGTTTTTAATAAAATGCAAAAATTACCTTTGAGGGTTTACTTGTAGACATGAGAACATCCAGTGTCACCCGAAACCCTATAGGAAAGCATTATACATACTTTCCTATAGGGGGAAATACTAATGTGAGCACGGCCATTGCCGCGCATGCGCATTAGGTTTCCCCCACTGATGGCAGCCAAGGAGCGGAGGTGGAGCCTGAACCAGCGTCAAGGAACATCGGCACTGGACTCAGTTAAGTGACAGAAGATTTTTAACCTAGGAGCGAACTGGTTTAATGGGACATGGTACGCAGACCACCAGCATGGTATGCAGACTCCTCCCTGGCGTCCCTGTGTCTGGGAGATAATTGAGTTCAAGCCCGGTAACTCAATTATCTCTCAGCTACAGGAACCCACACGGAAAACACCCCAAAACACATGCAGTTTTTCCAGGAACCCACACAAGTCCTATATCCCTGGATAGCCCGGATCTGAGTGCCCAAATAGCGCTCGGATCCGTTCAGTAGAACAGAAACGTCATCCGGGTAAAGTTTTGACCGACCGGACACATGGTCGTTGCCCAAAAGAGCTCCAGAGTGAAATAGGATGTGGCCGGTATCTGTTTGGTAGTTCCTGCATTTGTACAAATGTGTGTTCGGTTCTGGTTCCAGGGAGCGAATATTCCTTAAGTTCATGCGAACACGTTGCCCAAAGAGCGCTCTCCTTAAATGTTTGGAAAATAAGCAGGCGGTGGGGGGTGCCTTGGGAGGGGGAGCCGCCAGGAGCGCCGGCCCCCCTCATGCTGCAACGCCCGCCCGGCTCTGCAGAGAGCCTCCAGGCGGCTGCAGCTGCCGCCAGACTTTGGCCCTAGGAGAGGGCTCACAGGGAGGGAAGCGGCTCAAGCTCAGCATGCCTCTATCCTCCCTCACTGTAAGCGTGGCGAGCTCTCTGTATCATGATCAGCGGAGTAGAGACATCTGTCTCCTGTACCTGGCGGACTAACAGGAAGTACACACTGGTGAGCTTCCTGTTAGTCCGGCAGTGGCTCACTCCCTGTACCCATGGAATATGAGCTCGACCTTCTACAGCTATTTAATATTAGGGGGAGGAATAAAAAGTGGGGGAGGAATAAAGAAATTGAGGGGGGAGGAATAAAGAAATTGGGAGGGGAGGCATAAAGAAATTGGGAGAATAAAGAAAGAAATTGGAGATATAAAAGAAAGAAATTGGGAGAATAAAGAAAAGGGTGGGGATAAGAAAAGATTGGGATAAAGAAAGAAATTGGGAGGGGGGAGAAAGAAAGATTGGGGGGGAAAGAAAGAAATTGGGAGGGGGGATAAAGAAAGAAATTGGGAGGGGGGATAAAGAAAGATATTGGGAGGGGGGATAAAAAAAGAAATTGGGAGGGGGAGAAGGAAATTGGATGGGGGGGAGAGAAGGAAATTGGAGGGGGGGGAGATTGACATTCATCACACACAATACACCACTTGCACACAGAAAAACACACAATGCATTACACACACAATGCATTACACAAACAGAAACACATACACAAGTAACAACCGTTACACACAATGCATCCCTTACACACACAGAAACACACAATGCATTCATTACACACACTCAATGCACCCCTTACACACACTCAATGCATACCGCACATACACAGAAACACACCTTGCAGCCCTTACACATACAAACACAGATTCACACAATGCATTCCTTACACACATATCAGGACATCCCCTACACACTCCACCCCCTGTGAATAAACTCATTGGTGGAACATGAAGGTGGACCCTGGGACCCAGACCTTGAGCTGTGTAAAGGGCCCCCAAAGAATGGAGCTGCTTCACGTTCTCCCAGAACATTGATTTTTGTGACCACAGTTACAAACCGCCTCCAGAGAGCCTGTTGTACACCAGACCAGTGGAGCCAGACTGCAGCTAGAGCCCATCATCATCCTCATCTGGTTGTAAGTAGGCAATCTAGTATATTATTCGTGGCCCTAAGCTCTAATTTACCTCACATTAAAGAAACACTATAGTCCCCAGAACCACTGCAGCTTAATGTAGTGGTTCTGATGTTGATAGCCTGTCCCTGCAGGCCTTTTAATGTAAACACGGCAGCACTGCAGCACTGTGTTAGTTAACATGGCAAATCATATGGGTGGGGCATTTTGATGTCACATGGTGGGGGCAGGAGGTGACCAGCACAGGATCGCCCCGGCTGCCAAATGCTCTAGGTACGTCCCTGGTGTCAAGAGAGGTCAACAAGGTTAACAAGTCAAGAGATGGTCTTATTATGGGTGGTTTAAAAGGGGAAAATCAGGACTTTGTTCGGTTACCGAACCATAAGTAAAAAAACGAATTGCCAGTAATTGTTCAGTGACTGGGTGTCCAGTCACACAATTTATGCAACTAAAATGAAATTTTCAACAAGAACAATGCATCTGATTACACCAAAAGTGAAATATGTCTAAATGTCAATACAACTTGGATATATTATTCATAAAGTGAACATCGGACTCATATCTGGAAAATAAAAGTGTAATCAAAGGGCAAAAATCGCTGGTCACACAGAGAGCTGATTTTTCCACCCTCCTTGGCTTATGCCCCTGCCAGAGGCCAGTTTCACCAACCCTTAAGTACGCACCTGCCCCTCTCCTCCCTCCCCTTCTCTGATATCCCTTCCCCTTTGCTGAAGAAAAATGATAGGAAGCAAGGAGGATTGGGCTGACGGGAGAACTTGGACTCAGCAATGGAACAGATAGGTCTACTCTAACCAAAGCTAGTGTATTGAAAGAACCCTGTTTTTCTTATGTAGTAACCCTTTACGTACATGTAGTGGATCTTGGTATCTCTGCTTACTTCCCTCCTTTTCCCACAGAATGTCATAGTGATTACAGCAGTTCTATCTCAGCTCACTCAAAGATCAGCCGAGATGAAGGGTGAAACAGAACATGGTATATTGCACAAAGTCACACACATTTATACCTGTACAGTGTGTATTCAATCAGCAGGCGGTGATTAGGTGATCAAAGGGAATGCCCACTAAGGTGCTGTCCAAACTGGGGCTAATGGCTTTATGGTAAGACAATCTCCACCCATCTGGGACCTGGGATACCTGGTGTCATCATGTATGGGGCTGCTGCCCCCTCTTTGCTCACTGTAACCCCCCTAAACCAGCATACCGTAGACAGCTCACCCCAACAACCGCCACTGACATAATATATCCATTTGGTGTTTAATCGCCACCCGGTTGAAGTTTCTGCCAGGTGGCCGGCTTCAGCTCTCGGCCCCAGGTCAGAAGCCATACCAGGAATATTATGCTACTGGGTGGCTGTCAGTGTGGGCTCTTGGATCAGCCATGCCGGCAGGAGCAAAGGGGGAACAAAAAAACTGAGAAATTTGTTTTTTGGGAGTTATTTTTGAGGTCCTTCGTAACAGTACAAAACAAGCAAACTGTAGCTGTGTCACTAACTGGTTTCATATAGAAAATCAAACTAGGGCTTTCTTCCACTAACAATTCTATTGTAGTGAATAGATTACAATATATTTTCATAAACAGCCAAGCTGAGATTATAGCTGGATTTTAGAACTTGTCCAAATTCTTACTTTTTTTTTTTAATTTGGAAATTTAGATTTGATTTCACTACAACTCAGTGTTTAGTGAATAAATCCCACATGATTACATATACGTATTAAACAAACTTATGCGGTCACACACCAGGGACAGGGAAAGGAACATGTCGGGGGAGAGGAGGTTAGCTGTTTGTTTGTTTGTTTTTTTACTGTGAACTGTGAAGAAAATGGGAACTGCATGTCATGGTGCTCAGCCAATCAGTAAGCTGGATGAGCATTCTGGAATGTTTGTCTACAAACATCTGCAATTACTGGTTATTATTATTATTATTTGATTATTTATATAGCGCCATCAGATTCCGTAGCACTGTACAATGGGAGCTATTGCTTGTACACTCTTTGCCATTTTTGCTGGTTTGTCATATTGAAAAATGGGATCGACAAAATCTCAAATCCAAGAGTTACAGACCCTTGGCCCACCCCTGTTGTCTTTCCATCACTCCAATCCATATCTCCCTCCCTGCTCTCATATCACTCCAATCCGTCCCTCACTATTAACCTCCCACCCATCACTCACTGCCTTCCCATTCTCTCAACACTCCCAGACATACCTATATTACTATATTTCCAATCCATCTCTCTCTATCTGACTTTCCATCACTCCAAACCATCCATCACTGCCCCGCCCCCCGGTCAAATCACCCGCTCTATACAGCTCTTTGACAAGCATTGGAAAGCAGCAAGCATTGAAGCTTCTCAATTAGAAACCTTTGACTGGACTGACAGCCCGTGTTGGTAAAAGAGGGGAGTCCTTGCAAAGGCTATAAACAGTAGGTCTACACCTTTTGCAATCTTTTCTAATTTAATATCCTAAATGCAAACAGGCAAGAAAAAAATACATGCATGTTTTTTTACGGCCATATCTACAAAATAGTTTAAAAAAAAATAAAATGAAAAAATAGAGTGTTCCTTTAAGAAAAAATATAAAATTATATATTAGGGTTCTGGAGACCTTTGGTCTTGTGTGTTATTTTTAATTTAAAACATTGAAGCATAGATTTTTTTGGCAAACGAGAATTAAAATCCTCATCAAGTCTGCCCATCACTCCAGGACCACTCAATGGTATTGTTTTTTTCTATTAGCCGAGGATCATCATGTATATATTACAGTTTTGCATCATCCCTGCGGTTGGAATTTCTAACCCTCCCCTATCTTCACATATGGTGACATGTTTCTTTAACCTGTGTGTATTTAATTAGGGCTTTCAGTTCACTCCCTAGTACACCTGTTGCCGTAGCTCTGCGTGTTTTGCAGTTCTTGCCTCTCACTATCCCAGTGGAAGGGTGGCGATCTGATAGGTGTTACTTCATCTGTAAAAGTATTTCTGCTAGTTTTTCGGCATTAACTTGTGGACAGGGGAATCAAGGAGCTGTGTATTGAAGGTTGATACGTTGTTGCACAGGGTATTCAAATAACAAGATCATGGCTACTGAAAACCTTGGGGACTCCTCGCAATTAAAGCGGAAAAGTCACAGATGTCTCTACTGTACGGCAGTAGGTAGCAAACTGTGTCTAGATTGTGAAGCCTATCTTTGCCGTGATCACCTCGAGGCCCATAATTCGGTAGGACAGCACACCCTAACTGAACTGACCACTGACATGCAGACAAGAAAGTGTGCTACTCATCAAAAACTCCTAAAATATAACTGCTGCGTGGATAACGTTTATGTCTGTGAGTTCTGTGTTGTACTTGGCGATCACATAGGACACAATGTGGAATTAATAAGTGACAAGTCTGTGGCTGTGAAGTCATCACTAGAAGAACTTGTGGACAATCTGAACGTGCAGTGCAAAGAATTTGAAAACCATTTTCGTGAAGCAGAGACCAGAAGGAATGACACCCACAAAAAAGCTGATGATCTAAAAAGACAAGTCACTACGATGATTACAGAGCTTCAACAAGAGCTGGAAGGTGAGGGGCAGAATATTTTAAGTGAAATTAAAAATCAAGTACAGGAGGAAGATCATAAAATCGCTAGATATTTGTCAAAAAAGAATGAAGAAAAATTAAAGCTGATTGCCCAAGTTAATGAGATCAGAGATTTTTTAAATACTACCGACCCAATGACCATTTTGGAGAAAGGAACTCCGTCAATTAACAAGACCAATATGTTAATAGACGAGGTTCAAGGCAGACTGGAAGATACAGGATTGAATGTGTTATTGGTAACAGTGCATTTAGAGTCTGGGCTAATCAAGGTAATACAACGTATTCCACAACTTCAAAAAAACCATGGTTTTGCAGTGCAGAATTTAATCCATATAATGCTGAGGAACGCAAATGATCCGACTGAAGGCAATGCCTCTGAACTTGGAAGCCTTCTGGACTCATCAATGAATCTTAAGGAAAAACATTGTACGTCTCTGACCTATAGCTCCACAGCCATTTCATCAGGACAACATTATTGGGAAGTAGAAACCAGTGACTTGCCAAGTTGGAGTGTTGGAGTGTCTTACTCACAAAACAAAGATTGCACTTTGGGAGATAATGACGATTCATGGTGCATGTGTTACTATAAAATGGGTAAATATGCAGTTGTTAACAATGGTGTAAAAACATTAGTGACTACCAGCTCTCCTATTGAAGCTTTAGGAATATATTTGGATTATGACGCAGGAAACTTGTGTTTTTTTCAGCTGGCCAAACCTATCAAACACCTACATACAGAGTTTGCTACCTTCACTTCTCCTGTTTATGCGGCCTTTTCCATAAGTAAAAAAGGCTGGATAAATTTGAGGTAAAACAACTTTGTCATAAAGCAACTTGGCTATAGGTGATGCATTTTCAAGCTGTTCATGTGTTCAGTAAGCCCAAAAAGCATTGCATCCTCTATGACAGGGGTCTTCAAACTCCGGCCCCCCAGATGTTGCTGAACTACAACTCCCATGATTCTTAGAATTACATAGATAGCCAGAAAATCATGGGAGTTGTAGTTCAGTAACATCTGGGGGGGCGGAGTTTGAGGACCCCTGCTCTATGACTTCTTTGTAGCTGGGGATGGGGGCAGTGGGAAATAAATGACTGACAGTAAGTGTGTGTATGTGGCATTGTGTGTATGGTACTGTGTATTTGTTTCTGTCAGTGTGTGTCTCTGAATAATTATTTGTGTGTCTTTGTGAGTATGTATGTGTTTCCGAAAATGCAGTTTTATATATGTGTTTACAACTCTTTATCACTTTGCCTGTAAAATAGAATTTGAGTGTGTGTCTGAGAATGAATGTCTTGTGAATTTGTGTTTTTGTCTTTGAATATATATCTGCAGACAAGAGATCTGCAGCTTTTGCGAGCTGATTTAGATATACCCTTAATTAAAAAAAAATGCATTAATACATGCATGTTTTCATTTGAGGTATATATACTAAGTAGTGATTTAAAAAAAAATATTGGGGGACAGTGGAGTGTACCTTTCAGGTAAATTGAGTAGGTGAAATGAATTGTGGTACACTTACCAACACACATTTCATATGATATTTACCTTTTTTTTTTTGCCCTGGTCCCTGTTCATTCTATTTTAATTTTGTCCCCCAAAAAATACTAACGTACATTCTCAAACAGCACACATAGAAAGAAAATACATATTCGCACACTATAAAAAACAGAAATGCATGTAAGCTTTCACATATACACGAAAATATACACTAATGCACACCTTTTCAAGTTCCACAATGATTGTAAACCCTTAAGGACACATTACATGTGTGACATGTCATGATTCCCTTTTATTCCAGAAGTTTGATCCTTAAGGAGTTAAAGGAGTCACTGTACATGGTCAAATCTCTCTAACTGGTTTACGTGATTGATTGGCATCAAAATGCTCCAGGATTGTTCCAAATGTTGGCATTTGTGGCTTAATGAATAGCACTTAAAATGGTAACCGTTAAGGTACAATTCAGGGGGTGCAAGAATATTGCAATAAATAACAATTTAATAAAGTATAATCAGTACAGAAAGACAGACAGCGAGTCCTTTTAGGAGATTCCCTATTATACCATAAATTCTAAATCATTTATCACTTGAAAGAACATCAATAAATATCAGTTTTGAAATATTAGAGCAGAATTCAAATGTTCCACTCACCTAGTAGTTACTGACCAGTTGAATTTCAGTCTTGGCAAGTGTGACACAGAGACCCCTTACTGCCGCCAAGGCCAGATTTGACATAATGTCAGATATCTTATCCCAGAAAATATGACTATTATTCTGCTACAAACAGTACAGGTCACAACTAAGAAAACAATGTTTCACGGCCATTTGTGTAGCAATTTTAAACCAAATAGCTGAAAAAAATTGACATTGAGAGAAGTTGAGACAGCAAGTTGTTCATTGACACCCAAAATGCCTTATGAACTAATTCAAGTTCCAACTTCAAAACACTTAACCCCTTAAGGACCAGACTTCTGGAATAAAAGGGAATCATGACATGTCACACATGTCATGTGTCCTTAAGGGGTTAAACCACTTTAACTAAGACATTAAACACATAGATATCGTTGATGCTTCCTATCTCTAAAATCTAGTATGTGTTAACTCAAACAGAGGGACTTCCATCTCATGGTGAATGAGGACAAGAATTAAAGTCCAGATCACAGATCACCTTTTGTCAGAGAAATAAGAATGGAGGTTAATATCACATGGTCTGACTGAAATTAAGTTAGAAAGATATACATTTTAAAGTATATCTTAAATGCAAAGTATAACCATTATACTAATCATGTTTAGATTTATATATATATATTTTCCTCTCTAATAAATATTATCCATGTATGTAGTTATAGGACACACTTGTCAAACATATGTATAAAACATATTTATTTAGAAGTGTTGGTACCCAATTGAGAATCTATTTTAAAATCTTGAGAATTAATGACATATCAGATGTTTTAAAGTCATTTATATTTATAAACTTTGAAACTAAGACATGGTCAATTTACCAGAAAAAATATATACACAAACTAACTAAATTGAGTGATTTTCCATAATGCCTGGAATAAGGATCATATGATTACATTTATCTATTTCCAAAGACTAATATAAATGCCCATGTACACGTGTCAGCATAATTTTAATTTACCAATTCTAGGAAATGTGAATAAATTGAAAATCATTTATCAGAGAAGAGCTACACCTGGAACAACTTTGGTAAAAGTCGGTGTAATTTATTTAATGATAGGCTCTTAATTACCATATATTATACCCATCAAAATCTGATTGTAGGATGTTAAATCCATAGCTGTGAGTTAGTTGAGATATGGAAACAAATATAATCTTAATGGTAAATAGAGGATATAACTCTCTTTAAAATGTATCTCTCAAATGAATTATCACTCTCTTTAATTTAATGACTCTCTTGATTGATCACTCCCTTTGATTATCACTCTTGAACTGATACTCTGAAAATCTATTGTCTTGAATTTATTTCACCCAATTATTAAACTTTATTATTCTTATTAACTATCTCAACCTTACAGCTAGTTATTTTCCATTTGTTTTTATTTTTTTTCTTTCGAAACGGAATTGCTTATTCCTTATCAATTAAGAAGGGAAGGAAAACCATTGACTAAGTGGTAATTATAAATCATATTATATTCATATTTTTCATAGGTATGAAATTTATCTGATACAACATTTCGAGTAATATATTTTCTTTTTGAGGAAAATAGTCTCTGTGTATTTAAAATCTGTGTCTACAGCTCAGATTTTTTAATTTGTTTGTTGAAATTCAGATATTAATCAAATCCTATTATCTCGTATATACCCGTAGATTTGCTTAGTGAAGATACAGAGGTTACGTAAAAAAAAAAAAAAAATGTTGAACACTTGTTGATATTATCTTAATTGTTTTGTTCTACATAATATTATTGCATACCAATTTAGCGAAATATGTTATTTCTATTAACTTTCTTTTTTTTTTTTATGTCTTTGCATATTGTCAATTTTCAATTCCAAGAGCGTTTAATTGCTGAGTGGATTGGAAAAAAAAAATTTTGCTTGTGAAAATAGTTGTTTATTATTAGAGATTGTTAATACAAGTGATTTGGTTCTTTGTAGAAGCAGCAAGTGTGGGTTATTGTCCTGTTTAAAACTCCTGGAATAGTTTAAGGTTTATGATTCATTATTGCAGGAGATCTTGCAATATGATACCATGTCATATTATGGTGAAGAATATAAAATTGCTAATGCGATATATTATGTTTAGTTATTGCATTAGTTGGTGATAAATTCTTTGAGCCAGTAACTACATTCCTCATTATCCAGATTTCATGATTTACTATGGAGATTATATTATGACATGTTTAAAGCAATTGTCTTTGTTAGATGTTGTGTGATCACTGATTATGTCACTATCCTATAGATTGCTGTTGTCACAATACATTATATATTTAAGAGATGTAGTTATTGTATGTTATATTGTATTAAGTTATACAATTAGAGTGAACTAGACTCATAGATAAAATAGTAGGCATCTCTTTATGTCCCAATTGTGGGTGTGGTCCTATAATAATTAATATTGTCATTAATATTTATATTAATAATAATTGTGTTTAATATGAATGAATAATTATTATTCCCCCAGTTCATCCTATATCCTCCTACACATTACTGCCCATATACCCCCTACTATAGCCACATTCCCCCACCACAGTCCCTGTCCCCCAACATTACAGCCATATTTCACCCTCAACAGCCCCTATCCCTCTCCCCACACACACATACACTACAGTCCCAATTTCCCCATTGCACACTCTTTAATCCCAAGTCTCTTTTGTCTTGGGGCTGCAGAGTGTGAAGGCCCAAGCCTCTATCCCAAATTCAGAGTACTGCTTGTATCCCCCTAAACACACCCTACAGAGCCATATCAACCACAACACACACACAAAACCCCCTATCCACCCCAACACACACTACAGATCCTATTCCCCTAAACACACTTTACTGCCCTTATCCACCTACAGCCCCTATTTACATGCACACGCATACAGTCCCATTTACAAACAACCCCATAACAGCTTCCCTCCCACACTGGCCACCCTACGAGCATCTTTCACCCAACACAAGTAGCCATACATATGAACATGCCATCTTCCAGCCCTGTCCCACATTTCATCCAACAATCCACCTGGTCAAATTCACCATTCTATCATTCCCGAAACTAGTCGCATTAACACATCCAATCGAATGCTCCAAAGTTTTGCATATATAAAATGCATTGAGGAAACTGGCCTTGGGGAAGCAATGATGGCAAAACTGGTGATAGCAGCAGGTGTACGTTTTTAACCAGCGGCCGTCCAGTACAAACAAATACTAGAGTCGGACACCAGCAGTTTGGCATTGTTGAAATCTACCAGTCAGACAGTTTGCGAAAGATTTGACATCTTACCTCAGTTTCCATTTGTGCCAATCACTTCTGCATGGAACTTCTATTAACTCTCTTGAGCTAAGTCCTAATATGCAGGGCCAGCCCGTCAGCAGAGAGCCTCGGCTGTCAGGCAATCAGCTTAGCCCACCTTCGCTGGACTTAGCTTAGAGCTTCTGCTTCTCATAGAGTCAGAGAGTGGTGTCTAGTAGACCCTAGCTAAAAGTCAAACCATTGGCAAATGGTTGACTACTTACAATGGGTGCTCCAGGGCTTCTTGTCACCAGAACCATGACAGTAGTGTTCATGGGGCTTGAAGAGTTCCTTTAATATTGTATTGGTCACTGAACAAGTTAACTATAATTACCAAGTGAGTAAATGTTAAACCTGGCTAGTAGCATAGGACTAGGAATAGAAATGTTGAGCCCTGCTTAGAGATTCTATTTTATGTGTACTGTAACAAAGGAACCGTCCAGGAGCCATAAGAACTCTGTGGTGACTTCTCGGACTGAAGTTAGTGTACTTGCATGCTGATTCTATGCTAAAATGTGTGAAAAATATGTTGCTTTAAAATTAAATAAAATCATTTTCATTTAAAACTGAATAAAAGTGTCTTGTCGTTTCATATGGAATTACCATACAGCCTGAACTATTAAATCTTTATTAAATACTCAAACTGAATGTGTTGGAATTCCACCGAATGCACTCAAAAGAAATCATAAGACAAAGTAGGGACTAATAATATTTTTTTTTATCAGGTATTTTCCCTCCACAGCTGTAAATGAAAAACGCGTTGTCCACAGAGTCTCCGGTTTTCTCAAAGGACCCTTCATACATATCACTGGACAGCATTGGAGCAGAAGAGGAACCCCTCCTAAATGGACATGCTAGTAGCCGTGAGGGACAGCTTCAGCTAAATAAAACCTGCACTCCCAGGCCACCACAGTTCAAGAGGCGATGAGGGACACTTGAATTTTAAGGGTTTAGCCAGGGTTGGGGCTGTTTGGAGACATTTTAATAAAAACGTATGCAACTTACAATGTGATTAAATCAAGAACAATGTATCTTATTCACACTTATTTCTAAACATATTTATTGTAGTTTAAAGACACATTACTGCGAGTATTATTGCTGTGGAACCCTGTTATACACTCAGATTCACCAACAATATGAAGCTATAAGAAAAAAAGGGACATTAGGATAGAAAAGAGGGACAGAGGGATTAGAGCCCAAAATAGGGACTGTCGCTCCTAATTTAGGGGTGATTGGGAGCTATGCCATCGCATACTCTTTGCAAAATATGCAAAGACCACAGAGGGTGACAGAGCCATTTTAAGGCCATGGAAGCTAATATTTTTGATAGTCATATTGTATATACTGTGTAATCATCCACGATAAGATTAATATGCATGCAGATAGCTGTACGTAATATCTCTTATCATACAAATAATGTACTCAGACTTTTCAATATGCCTAAAGATTCACAACTAAAATATTATAATTTACCGCCTTACTTGCAACAGTTTTTGGTTGAATGCTGAGGGGGTGAGCGTTAAGTGTCAGACCACTCAAACAGCATTTCATTGCATAAACTTGACAATTATTTCAGTTGAAATTTTTGCTATCGTGAGTTTTCTCGCTGTGAAACTCTGTTGTACGAGTATACACACCAATTATTCTGAGATGAAAACAAGCAGAATATCAGCATAAAGAAAGAGTAACGGGATTTAGGCTCAGACTAGGGAATTTCCTTCCTAAAGACGTTTATTTAAGAAGTATGAATAGAAAGCTCATTAGAATCCCTCATCGAACAATAGACGACAATGTTCAGCCTTCAACAGTAATTATATGATATCTGAACTGGAGCCAAATATCTTTATTACCACTGAGTTGGATAATAGAGAGTTAGTCTAACAAGGATATGTTCCTACAGAAAGCTATTCCTAAAGAAAACTTCTCACAGGTTATCCATCAAGTATCCACAGCCTCAATGTGATGTCCAATAAGGAACAAGCCATTATCCAACGTCTGTGACGGGGATATGCATCTCTGTTGCACCCAGTGGGGTTCATCATGTAAATGCCAATTCCAAGACGATATGCAAAAGTTATAAGTCATATAACATACTTTTATGCTGCTTTCTACTGCGTTTTTATATATATTAACTCCCATCAGCCTCAGCCAGAATTACATTAAGCATAGGATTTGTAGTCCAGCAGAGTCAGGCAACATCTTTAACGCAATTTGATGGGACATAAACTACCAAAAGTGTGTTTTTTTTTTAATTATTATTATTAGGACCTCTGCATATGGAAACGGCAGAGATAAAAAAAAAAACCAAAAAAAAAAAACCTGTTTATATTTTTCTTTATCCGTTGCCAAACTATGGAGTGGTAGAATTGTCATATAAATTAGACTTGTTAGTTAATCTAATTGTTACTGCCCATTATCAACCTGGTTTTCCTAAGAGGTTCTATTCTCATTTCACCTTCCTCCCTGCGGAGAGATCAAATTATTCACCCGCCTAACAAAGGCCTCAATCTAATATTTTTAGACAAGCTTTACAAATGATCTAATATAGAAACAAGGAATGTGACGGCAGATAAGAGCCATTCGGCCAATATAACCATCCCACTTTTCTAAATACTTTCATTAGTCCCTAGTCTTATCTTATAGTTAGGATAGCCTTATGCCTATCCCACGCATGCTTAAACTCCTTTACTGTGTTAACCTCTACCACTTCAGCTGGAAGGCTATTCCATGCATCCACTACCCTCTCAGTAAAGTAATACTTCCTGATATTATTTTTAAACCTTTGTCCCTCTAATTTAAGACTATGTCCTCTTGTTGTGGTAGTTTTTCTTCTTTCAAATATAGTCTCCTCCTTTACTGTGTTGATTCCCTTTATATATTTAAATGTTTCTATCATATCCCCCCTGTCTCGTCTTTCCTCTAAGCTATACATGTTAAGATCCTTTAACCTTTCCTTGTAAGTTTTATCCTGCAATCCATGAACTCTCTCTAAAGTATCAATATCCTTCTGAATAAACGGTCTCCAGTACTGTGTATAATACTCCAAGTGAGGTCTCACTAGTGTTCTGTACAATGGCATGAGCACTTCCCTCTTTCTACTGCTAATACCTCTCCCTATACAACCAAGCATTCTGCTAGCATTTCCTGCTGCTCTATTACATTGTCTGCCTACCGTTAAGTCATCAGAAATAATCACCCCTAAATCCCTTTCCTCATATGTTTAGGTTAGGACTCTATCAAATATTCTGTACTCTGCCCTTGTTTTTTTTTCCACCTGTCACGGCCAACTTATGTTGAATCTCTTTAATTAATCGTCACCAAGATGCCAACACTCTGCCACAACGCTCGGTGGCAAACCTACCCAACAGGCAAAAGAAAAAAACGTGAAAAAACACACAAAATATATAATATTTGGACCCAGAGCGATCACATGGCTGCAATAGGCGTCCACAGTGTTGCCTGCAGGGGGACTGCCTGAACTGACAGGCAGTTCCCCTGCTGGTGAAAAAAAAGTTTTAAAATAAAAAAATAAAGTTAATAAATTTAAATTGTTATATGTATATATATATATATATATTATATATATATATGTATATATATATATATAGATGGATGAAAAAAGCCAGCACTATGGGTCTTGTAAATGAAAACTTCTCAGGTTTTATTCCAACAGTCAACGTTTCAGTTCCAATAGAACTTTCTTCAGGACATACATAACTAATGTTAACAATATTGACCATATATTAGGAAAAACTCACTCACCCAGACCTCGATCACCTGTGTGCCGGCGTGCAGCCATCACCAATGCGCATGCACGATTAAGCTCCTCCCCCTACTCACGTCACTTCCGGGTGCCGTGTCTCCGTTTCCAAGGTGACCCACAGAAACAAACCGTCACCTTGTGAATGAATGAGGACAAGTGAAATAAATGTGCACAATGTGTGAAACATTATAAGTGTCCATAAATGTAGCTGATCCAACTACTTATTGATCTATATACCAGGATATAAAATAAAGTGCACTCCAGAAATCCAACAGGGCTCCTGCCGGGACCACCCGCGACGTACCCTGGGTTGTCTACTTTTAAAAAAATATGTACATGTGAGGTGTGATTCAGAGATTTATGACACATAACAGTGTTACAATGTCATTATTGATAAATTTTAAAAATATATATTTTGAAACAGCAATGTCCTACTTGTGCTTATGGCCCTATAGCTTGCAAAAAAAAAAGCTAAGAACATGTTAACTTTGGGTATTTCTAAACTCAGGACAAAATTTTTAAACTATTTAGCACTGGTGTTTTTTGACAGTTGTAGGTGCGCAACAGATTTTGGGGGTCAAAGTTAGAAAATGTGTTTTTTTTTATATTTTTTCATCATATTTTATAATTCTTTTTTAAAGTAAATTATATGATGAAAATAATTGTATCTTTAGAAAGACCATTTAATGGCAAGAAAAACACTATATAATAAGAGGAAAATTACAGCTGAACACAAACACAGCAGAAATGTCCTTGACGGTAAGAAAATCTAAAAATGGTCTGGTTATTAAGGTGTTAATGCTACAGCCTCTGTGACTGTATAAAAAATTATTATATTATATTATTACTTGTCTTAGCACAATATTAACCAGTCTTCTCACCTCTGTACACAATTTTGTGGTTTATATGGGGCAAAATATCCTTTAGTATTTGGAAGTATTTACAACTAGACTTGTGCATTCGGATTGAAACGACAAACTAATTTGCTGGTTCCGAAGACAGAATCAAATGAATCAAGACACAATTCTTCCATGGTCACGATTCTTTCAAGCTATTCAGTCATTTATTGACTCAGAGTGGCCAATATACAATTGTGAATTTGGGTGACATGCATTTAATTTGCGACTAAATGAATGTAATTTGGTTCTGAAAATATCTGATCAGTTATCAATCTGGTCTAGTAAGCAGTTCCTTAATTGGGTATCCTTAAATATTAATCCCATGTAATGTTACCAAATTAGGGAGCTATCTACTAAACTGCTAAAGATCAAAATTAAAAATGAGGAAAAAATAGCTTTAATCAGCTTATGTGAATAGATAAAACCGTTTTCTTAAAATATAGACCATAAGTACGAAGTAGTTAACATGAAAAAAGTCTAAATAACAAGGAGAAACAACTGTGCTCAATTAGCAATACTACTAATTATATAGCTGACGACTTGCCAACCCATAATTTATTCTGGTACTAACCCTGATGCAAAAGCAGTTCAATCTGAGCCAAGCAAAATTTCTCAAAAAGCCATACTTCACAACAAACAAGCACTGTATGATGCAATAAAAACAATATAATGAAGCCACATTCTACAATTAAATTAAAAAATAAATACATTTTTTTTTTACGTCTTGCAAAAAAATGGTGCAATTAATCTTGGGGAGATACAGATATCTGTAACTACAGGTGCACCCCTTCTGTATGCTGGAGACAAATCTTTGGTCTCATTCTGGCTAATTAGATGTGACGTGGTCAAATTGAAAGCTGCCATATCTCATAGATACTGTGCTGAAAATATACCTTTAGCAATGCATGATGTCATGGCCGACATCACAGTTACAGGACTTCACACAAAGCACCCACCGAATCTGGAAAAAAAACATAATTTTTGGATCTTCCCTTGAACTAATCACAATCTACATTTTCTTAAACAAAGGAATGCATACGGAGCCCTGGGCTGATCATTATGTAAAAGCATGGAAGATTGTTGTGGTGTGGCCCCTTGAGAAATCATGAAAATGTCTCTCTGTCCTTTAAAAGTACTCTGTAGCATTAGGAATACAAATGTGTTTTTCCTAACTTTATAGTGTGTGCCCCGTCCCCCCCAAAAAGGGTTAAATTGGTATTTTACAATCTTTATTTCAGCCAATCCAATGCTTTCCTATGGGAGGCTAGTGCGCATGCGTGACAAAACGCCATGCTGCCCCAATCAGTTGGTCTCTATGATGGAAATAGCAGAGTTTTACTATTTCTGCAGAAGCACCTCTAGTATGACAGCCACAAGATGTATTTAAACCCTGCAATGTAAACATTGTCGTTCCTGCAGAACGGCGATATTTTACATAGGAGGGTTAAAACAAGAGAGTCATGGCACCCAGACAGTGGAGGAACTATCGCGGTCACAGTTGCGACCGGGCCCGTCACTCCAAGTGGCTTGGCCGCCCTGTGGACCCCTGCGACTGGGTGCCCGACGGCCATGTGTTGCAGCCCCGGCTCGCGCCGTATAACCGCCAGGGCCGCACATTAAGGTACCCATCGGGTTGCCCATGCTGTTAGGGCCACCCGATGGAAATTCATTTAACAGAGCTAGGAGGAACGGACTTCCCTTGTCACTTCCTCCCAGCAATCACCGGGAGCCGCGCGGGAGTGAACTCTGACTCCCATCAGCCTGAGCCACCACTAGACCACAGGGAAGTCACCCTCCTGCATCTGTAAGTAGGAAACAGGAGGGTGTGTATGAGTGTGTGCTTGTATGTGTCTACATGAATGTGTCTGCATGTGTATCTATTTGTCTGCATGTTTTTGGGGGCGGGGACATATTGGGGGCAGGGAGACGTATGGGGGAGCCCCAGGGCAATTTTCGCACTGGGCCCCGTGGTTTCTAGTTACACCTCTGCATCCAAACCACTTCGCAGCATGAGTATCTCTCTATAGTGTCCCTTCAACCTTTACCTTCTCTTGTGTAACTGTTAAACAAGCAAAAAGTCAAGGTACACACAAGTTCCAGTTCTTTAGGACACATATTGATCTATTTTGCTCATGCTGGTCATGCTATTAAAGGAACACTCCTGTAGTGATTATGGTGCCAGGAGTATCCTCGAGCACCCTCTCACTCCAATTGTTAAGGGTTCAAACCATTTTTTAACAGTTTGATTTCTTTCCTGGGATTTGCCGGGCACTGCCTCCTGCCTCCACCTACCTACCAACGCTAGTAAGAAAGAACTTCCTAATCAGACGATCTCTCAGCCAAAGAGCGAGGGGCTGCACTTCCAGCGCCCCAGCATTGGTCATAGTAGTGGTTATGGCTCTTGGTTGGTTGTTTAAGATGCAAACACAACAGAATGATTTTTATTTTTAAATGTAATGACAGGCCTGCTTCTGGAAACAGTAAGAATAATTACATACATGCCGGTTATTCCCACACCTAAAATTATAGGGGAGGAGAAAAATTCTAAATTGAAACTAGGATTATTAACCCGTAATGGAAGTACATGAATATCCTCCATCTCTCCCATTGAATTGTGGCTCAAGTTACCGACACTTATCATTAAATTACACCATTGACTAAAACATTTAAAAACACCCATAACTCACATTACTTTACTGCTCTTTTTTTATTTTATTTAAATCTGAATTAAAGATTTAACAAATTACATCACAACCCAGTTGGGTCCAGGCAAAGCCAAGGCACCTGGCACTAGAATCTAAACATTGTCTAATTTCTTCTGTTCTCTATCCTTTGCACAGCTAGCAGAGATAGTTTATTTCAAGGGACATTCTAGGCACCAAAACCACTACAAACAGGGGTGTCAAACTAATTTGTTGTTGATGGCCAAGCCGTCTACTGGTAGGGAGGGCCGAATGCATAACATTTATATTTTTATGCACACACACAAGAAAAAGAGCAGGCAGAAAGAACAGCTTCACATAACGTATTACTTTCTCACAGCAATAAAAAAAAAAAAAAAAATGATGTATTTGTGTGTAGTATTCCTGTTTAAATGCAGTTGTGTGATTGTATGGTCGGTTGCCATTTAAATGCATGGAGGGGTGTTTGTATGTAGTATATGTGTGTGTGTTTGACGTGGCAGGTGAGCTTACACTGAAGTGGCCACTGGAGTGATACTAAAATCCTCCAGTTATTTAAATGTGCATAGGGATTTGGGATAGTGCGCAAGTACCTCTTTTCTTTGGTTTTTGTTGTATGGATTGGGTCTGAGGTGTACTATAGTCATCGCTGCCGCCTACGAGTAGTGGGAGTTTGAGCGCAGGACTTATTTTTGCATATTTGTAGACGCCTATACTACTTCCTTAGTGTGCAGAGAAGTCATATGACCACAAAGAACCATACACAATCACACTGGCGTGTCACTTGCAGGATGGGAAATAGTGTGGTACTGTGTCATGCCAACTGCAGAGGGCAGACTGAAAGAGTACATAGGGGCGAAATGAGCTACATAACCAAGATATGAGTATGGTGATGGAGAAGGACCCGTGAAGGGTACTTGGGAGGAATTGTGGGTGCTGGATGATAAAGAGAAAGTTATAGAAAAAAGGGTTTATTTTTGCCTTAAACATTAAATTGTCATGAACTGAAAAAGGAACGTGAAATTAAACAAATATTCCGAATTAACTATAGGAACAGCTAAGGTATAATTGTTCCAAATCAGGTATTTTTGCCTATATTTTGCAATTTGGTTTAACCCCTTAAGGACACATGACACGTGTGACATGTCATGATTCCCTTTTATTCCAGAAGTTTGGTCCTTAAGGGGTTAAAATTCACAACTATTCTGTTATTGGTGAATAAACCCAAGGTGGCACAAATGAGAGGGAGGTCTGGAACGTGTAAAATGCAGAAGTAATCTATATATAGCAATCAGCTGGTATCACGCAGAAGCTCTATGTGGGTAGACTGAGCACTTCATTCATACTGATCTATATAAACAAACCTGCACTATATACTGGCAACACGGACCCGTTCACCCTACAAGTCTTGGACCCCCGTTAAAAGTATTTTAAGAGAAATTTAAACATAGATTACCTTAAAATGGTCTGCTCAGAGAGTTCAAAATAATAGATCAAATATATATTTGTTTACTTCTTCCTTTAAAATACGGGAAATGAGAAATCGCTTAACACTTGAAGAGATGGGCAAGCATAAATTGATGGACATTTTCACCATCCTATCAATATCAGTGGACAGAGGCATGCTTTGATTATATGTAATCTATTTCAAATATTTAATGAAGAAAAAATTTTTTAAAGAGTCATTTTTTAATTTTTTGTTTTTTTATTATTATTTTTTTTACATTTTATATACAAAATAATATTAATCAAGCCAAATGATGGAAGAAGTCAGGATTATAACCACAAAATGTGCGCAGCCTGCACGCTTTACGGGAAGTCGCTGTAAGGTAGACGGAACGGATAGAGTGCAGAGTATCGGGAATCTTGCCAGAGTAACTTCTCTTCCAGAAAATCCACAGCACCGACAGTTAACAGCACAGTGTCATGTTTCAACATGCTGTAAACATTGAGACCTAGGAGACAAAGACCATTAACAGCATGGGTTTTAAAAAATAAAATAAAAAATAAGACACATAAAAACCTGTATGAAACAAAGTGAACTTCAAATTCTTCTTAAAAAAATTATCCTTAAACGAAGAATTTAATAGGCAGGTGAAATGGCATGACCACCTAATTAAACGGATTTTATAGTGCCAGGAAAACAAAGACGGTTTCCTGGCACTATAGGATCCTACAGTCTCCCCCTCCCTCGCGCCCCCCTTCCTGCAGCGCTGAAGTGGTAGACAGCCACTAGGTGGAGTTAATTATTGCAGTTTTTCAAAAACTGCACTAATTACCACAGTAGGGTTAAGGGACATGGGACATTGCACCCAGACCACTACAATGAGCTTAAGTGGTCTGGGTGCCTACAGTGTCCCTTTAAAGGACCACTATAGGCACCTAGACCAATTCAGCTTAATGAAGTGGTCTGGGTGCCAGGTCCATCTAGGATTAACCCTTTTTGCTGTAAACATAGCAGTTTCAGAGAAACTGTTATGTTTACAAATGGGTTAATCCAGCCTGTAGTGGCTGTCTCATTGACAGCCGCTAGAGGCGCTTCCCACTGTGATTTTCACAGTGAAGACGCCAGCCTTCGTCCCCCTTCAGCCCGGCGGGAGTGGGACCCTGAGGGTGGGGGCACTCTCAGGGCACTATAGTGCCAGGAAATCGAGTTCGTTTTCCTGGCACTATAGTGGTCCTTTAAGTTATCTGTTCAGACACCAATGTACCAGGGATGTCGCAATTCCTCTGGTTTCCATGGAGACCTCCTGGAGAGACCCCAGGTATAAAAGTGGGACAATAAACCAGTTTCATCTCTAGCACTCGTCTAATGTATGGAGGAGGCTCTATTTGGAAGCTGTAATCACTGAGGCTACTCTGGGAGCTATAAACACTAAGAGAAAGTGAATTATTGGCGGTGATTTCCTGGTGGTACGCCACAACCGGCAGTTAATGCACACGCAGGCCCATACTCTCAGGACGTGTCCTGGCCTGCCAAAGATTAATAGATGTTCCGGGAAACAGCTGCCATTTTAATTGAGCTCTGTCCCAAAAGACATATGGAGAAAATGAGCCAATGAGACAGAAATATTGCAGTTCTGTCCCTCCAGCCATATCATTGTCAGGGGAGGAGCGGAATGAATGACAACAGTTGCACATAACAGCTGCTACCCAAAAGTGTAACTCTAACCAATGTAGGTGTCATTGGTTCCTCGTGATCAAACAAATGTTAGCCCTAGACCTAATTAAAAAAAACAAAAAACTTAATATTCTTGTGGCTTATCACACCCCCCCCCCAATGCATTATTTTCCATAATACAGTTAGGTACTGCATATGTTATATACACATACATTCTACACAAACTAAAGCTATCTTGCTTACCTGGAAATATAAACCCACATTTCCTGCTGAGAGCTTCCTGAGCACACAGTCACTTACAAACTTATGTGAAAGCCATTTGTCAAAGCAAAGATAAAGGTCTTTGCAAGTGAAAGTTACTCTGTCTTACTTCACTGAAACCGTTCCTCAAGCCACCCTTGTAATGTAATTAAATATCTGCTCATTTCATCCTAACATGCTCGTCGGCCGTGCGTTAGGAAACATGTATTGAGTTAAGCAGTGTACTAATCTCTAGGTTTTCTTCTATAACTTTGTTTTTCTATATTGTTTCAGACTATTTGTCAATGTGTGACAGGGGTGAGTGATTCAGACCAGCGACGTGAGTTTGATTCAGTTTCACTGCAGATTATTAGGCTAACTCAGAATATTTCCAGTCCTTTGTACTTCCCGGTTTTAAAGGGGTTGCTCCTTAGGATCCAAATATTTGGTAGTGCTCAGATGAAGGATATACAAGAATTCCCACCTGTAGAAGACACATTTTATCTTTTTTGGCTTTTATTTATATGTGAGGGTTACCCAGCAAGGTCACTGTTAATTGAAAATCTAAGTTTGAAAAAGTAGCACAAAGGATAATAAAACATATACTAAAGACCAGGTTTAAAAGTTATTTTTAGTTTAACTCCTTTTTTCTAAGCTTCAGTAGATTATAAGAACCAAAAATGTACCACGTGTATTTTAAAGGAACACTATAGCGTTATGAATACAAATATGTATTCCTCACGCTATAGCAGCCTAGTCACCGTTTAGGTTGCGCGAATAAATGGTTAACCATTTATTTGCTTCCCTTAATCCAGCGTTGGGCTCCCTCAGCACTAGTGACATCTTCTCCTCCATCGACGTCAGCTTCCAAGTGGAGCCGAATGCGCATGTGTGGCCATAGGAAAGCATTACTCAGTGCTTTCCTATGGGGATCTTTTTTGACGACTGACTCCGTGAGCACATCCAGCATCAAATAAGTGAGATTTACTCAGTGTAAATCGCGGAAGCAGACTCTAGTGGCTGGATTAACCCTGCTATGTAAAGCCTCAGAGAAACTGTTATTTTTTCAGCTGCAGAGTTAATCAATTGAGTTGAAGTGGTCTGGGTGCCCATAGTGGTCCTTTAAGATCTGATTTTCAAGCTATACCCCCACAAGTAATTATGCTTTATGCATACACCGATCTTTCTACAATACACTATTCAGCGTATGGTATATGAAGGATTAGATGTTGGTGACCCCTACTGATCAAGCAGAGAGTTTACTATTTAGATTCTGGGCACCCCTTAAAGCAGGGGTGGGGAACCTTCGACCCTCCAGATGTTTTGGACTACATCTCCCATAATGCACTTACAGCCATAATTCTGGCAAAGCATCAAGGGAGATGTAGTCCAAAACATCTGGAGAGCAGAGGGTTCCCCACCCCTGCCTTAAAAGGGATACCATAGTGCCAGGAATACAAAGCTGTATTACTGACACTAAAGCTCCCTCTGCCACTTCCATTCCGCTCGCCCTCCTATGCTGCAGTTAAAAACACTATTTCCTTACCAGACCACTTCAATGGTCTGGGTGCCTATAGTGTCCCTTTACACAAAGCTTTTTATTTTATTTTTATTTAAAGCTAACCTTGTTTCCTTTAGCAGCTTGGTCTCCCTGTGCCTCCTCTGACTATGATCATCAATACTGCTGATCTCAGCCAATCGAATGCTTCCCCATAGAAAAGCTTTGTGAGGCTAGTGTGGATACAAAGCTATCACTGCACAAATCAGCATCTCCTCATATGACTCACTGCTGGGGAAAGTTTGGAATCTCCACACTCTGCTTCTATTTGCAAGTAAGTCCCACTAGGTGCTGTCTGAGTAACATTACCTAGAGGTGATATTGGGCATCGTGTACACTGCTCCATTTGCCCCTGAACTACTGCATTAAGCTTTAGTGGTTCTGGTGCCTAAAAAGGTTTTATATTTTCTTTTCATTATTTTCCTGCTAGCATTATATCCTACTTTTTGTATGTCTGTTAGGATTTTATAAAGGGACACTATAGGCACCAAAACAACTTTAGCTTAATGAAGCAGTTTTGGTGTATAGATCATGTGACTGCAGTCTTACTGCTCAATTCTCTACCGTGTAGGAGTTAGGTCACTTTTGTTTCTATTTATACAGTCCTAGCCACAATTCCCTTGCTTTAGAAGTTTTTATCTCCTGCTCTGTAAATTTAACTTTAGTCACACGCAAGAGGCTACTGCAGGGTCTAGAAAGGGATTAACAGAGCACAAGATAAATGTTAAACAGATTGTACAATAAAGGAAGTTTAAACATTAGATGTCACTTTACAGGAACTCTTTAGGAAGCTGTGCAAATTATACACACAGAGAGGTGTGACTATGACCGCACACGCACACACGCGATATTATGTAAAATGTCTAAGTTTGTAAACAATTTATTCTGATTTGTACAATAACAATGCAACTGAAAGCTGGGCTCTCTGCCAGTATGTTTACTTATATGTCCATTTACACACCGGATTTCAAGGCTGTAATGCAGCAGTACAGAGAAAACCACTAAGCACAAAGAGTGCGGTGGTAAATACATATATACACCATCTGCCTGTTGTGTTTTCTGGTATCCTAGCAACATTTGTGTTGGATTTTGGCTGAACCAATCAAAAATCATTACTGCTATGACATCACACACCAGCACCTTACTAGGTCTTGAATCAGGCCAAGTATACAATTCATTATGAAGACTTTGCTTGGTGAAGTGAACCAGCTTATCGTGCTGTCTAGAAGGAAGAGATGCCCACTCGGCAAAAGAGGTAGGGAACCCTGATTTTGGAATAATCTACTTTAATCAAAAACCATTCATGTGTAAAATGAAAATATTTGTATATATTAATTTGAAGGTGCGCTCTACTAAATTTACGGGTTCAAAAATACTTATTTTGGCATAAGTTATCAAACTCTGTAATCTCATAAATCACTGCTTATTGTATGGACTACAGTATACAGCCTTTTCTATTTGCAGATTAAGAAACAGTGCTGATTATATAGTACTGCTCTTGTGTCTCTATATTACACATTACCTGCTTTCACTTCTTTGCAATTTTATACACACTGTACTCTATGCCAAGCTGCAGATCCAAATCCATTTGTCAGAAATCAGATCATGTAGTCTCCCCAAAATTAAAACCAAGTGGAAAGCCATCAGTTAATAAAGATACAATAGGGCCAAGTAATTAGCAGGGCATTGCGGATGGGGTCCAGCATTTATGCTTACCGCTTTTAAACTCCTACCTATTCTCGCTAGGATTTCTGTGCTTCTCCTATATTCTATTTACAGTACTTTTAACTCATTTTTCGTATACTTTTAGTTTTTCCATTTCTTTCGTGCCGCCCTTAATAGGAATATCATATAGGGCTGGCAGGGCCTTCAAGAGAACCAGTACCAGTCTTATTTCCGATTAACTATGGCACTCATATTCATGGCTAAAAAATAAATCTAACTATATTCATGAGTTTACAAAAGAAATAAAAAAAAAAAAAAAGTGGCAGCTCAATAGATAAACTAAAAAAATAAATATAGAATAAAACGGATATTGGATATATTAAAATAATAAATAATGTGGGGCGGAGCCTAACATCCAGACTGAGCGGACGTGTCAGGTCCGAGCTCCGACACAAAACAAACGATTTTGGGGGTACATACCCCACTACCTGGCGCAAATCTGCTCGGGTGAGGCATAACCGTACGGGGGACGCTCGGGCACATCTTCCGATACCCAAATCACTAGCCTGACGACCCGGAGACCCACACTGCGGTTGCCGAGGCCTGCGAGACAGCCGCTCTCCTCTCTGCCAGCCTGCTGCAGACGCACCTCGAAACTCAAACCTCCTAACCACCCCTCCCCCCGGACCGGTGGGGTATATCCCGGTCCTCGCCGTGAGCCCGGAGTGCCACACCTGCACAGACAGACGAGACGCAGTAGAACTCCAGGGCCAGCGACACGAGGCACGTACAAGATGGCGGCTGAGTACTCACCACGACAGCGGTTCCAGCCTGCAACCCCAAAGCAGCGTCCAGACAGCAGCACCGACCTCACAAGGCGCATTGATGAGCTGTTCGCCAAGTTCTGGGAGAAACTGCAGCTCCGAGCACAGAGCGCACAGACAAGTCGGAAAACCCCCAAGAGAGCAGGTGAGAGGGGCCACGTGCAGCCGACAGCGAGGGGGGCACGGCACTGGATCACTCACCACCACGCACCCTCCACAGCCCAATACAGCCCTCCAAAGACTCACTTCAAACTAAAGGAAATCCTGGGATACAGCATCACAGACAGCCCAACAGAAAGGTGGTGAACCAGCGCAGACTCAAGGGAGGCAAAACATACCAAGGCAGCCCACGCAGACGGCGGAGCGTAAAACCTAACCCGGCCGCGACCACAACATCACCAACTCAAATCGGCAGCAGTCAGTGTCCACGCCGACCCACAAAAATCCCAACCGGGAACACACGCTACTCTCAGGGCGAACCGGAGCCCAGCACTGAGCAACTGACAGCGCGAGGGGGGCACAACCACCACCAACGGGGCATCGGATGAACCACCTAGGACTGGGTCTCAATGACAGGCAAAGTGCCTAATATCCCTTACCTTCCCACAACCCAGATGAACTCTTACAAATGTATGCATGCACTTAAGCCTTAACATCCCTTCCCATTGCTCCTGCCATGGACCGCAGGGGGGGGCTTCACATGAGACCAAGCGACCACAAGATAAGCATACCTACCTATAGCCTAACCCATACTCACACGAGCTGCATTGGTAACTCAGCACACATAGCGCATACACCATAATCTCTACTGTCAAGCAGTTCATATAGCCTACCAAGCACAGTGATAGTTATGTTCACCCTTTTGCTTAGCAACTTGCAACAAACATATACAGTACGTATTAATATCTGCATTTCAATAGGCTGTTCAAAATGTCTAGCTAGCATTGTATTGTGGTTGTCTCTCCTAACACACCATTAACAAACACAATGCCTACAACCTACATCACAACTGTCCAGCTAACACACACACCTAACCTGCTGAATATCATTTACTCAAATGCTATTCTAACAAGATAAATGTTCAGTCAAGCTTGTTATCTCTATATAAAAAAAAAAAAAATGTGCAAACTTCTATGCCACAATTTAATTTCTGTAATTCCTGAAACACGCCGTTGTGGCGTCTGTTGATAACCTGTAATTATCTGCACAACCAAAGTAAAGAATTTAAAAAAAATTAAAAATAAAATAAATAATGTAATGCACTCTCAAATATTGACTTTTAATAAAATCTGAAATTAACTTATAATAAAAAAAGGTTTTTTCATACAGAGATTCCTACTATTGTCTGAAACCACCAAGTTAGTTCTACTTACCTTAACCTGTCCCTTGAGGGGGTGGCCGTCTTCTTCCAGTGGGTACACTTATAAATCACTGGTGAACTTTCGCAAATGCGAGAGTACAGCATTGAGGACTTTGGAGAGTCAGGTGGATAAAATATTCAGAGACTAAGTAGTCCATACTTAGACTCAGCATCTCATTATTGGGTTGGAATTTCAGTGAAACACAGTCAGAATTCGTTTTTCATAAAGATCAGGGGGGTCAGTGCCGCTTTAAGGCTAACAACTGTGTGACAACAGTCTGACAGTGAAATTCCTTGTTTATGCACAATGGGCCATTGGTGTAAAGGGTAACTCAGGAGCAAAGTTCCAGAAGTGTAGCAAGTACTATAGAAAACATTGAAAACTCCCTGTAGATTGTTCTAATTCTAGATCTTTGTCCAAAACTACTCTTAATACACACGACCAAGCCTATAACGTGTTTCGTGTGTTAAAACACTTACAAGCTTCGTTCTGAAGCTTTCATTGTAAACGTTTGCATTGACCCCCCCCCTCCTCACCGAGTACAATTTACATTATACTGAGCATAAAAGGGAACACAATGTAAATCAGATATCAGAGCAAAGAGAGAATTAACAGGGGGGGGGGGGGGAGGGGAAATGAGCAGCAGAATACCTACTTTGTGTTACAAGTACAAATATTTTTTGGGTGCAGTCCCTAAATTTTTTGTCAATGTGTTCAAGAGCTTTTAAATCCACATTATTAAGTAAAACCTCTGAAACATCTATATGGCATAAGGGAAGCTGGAATAGAACCACAAGCAGAGATTTTCCCAAAAACTACAAGGATGGTACCGGACAACTCCTTGCATAATAGCAATGACAATATGTAGAAGCAGTTATTGTACTTGCAGTGTGGAAACGGATGTCTCTGCAAGATACTAATAGTTACGGCAGGTTTGCTGAAAATGTTTTCTAGCCCCATGCTTTCAAACAGGAAATGATGTTTCAAGTAAAGGATAGATCACGCCATTACTACAGTAAGGGAGAGCAGATATTGTACTCTACCCTTTCACTGTTAGCATTACATTAGCAATCTTGAGATTGATAAAGATTGTTATTGAAATAGATAAAGATTTAACTGTATTACTCTAAGTGAGCCATATGCAGAAATGCAGGCACTCTATATATGCTGTTCCTATTTGTGTGTGTGATATATATATATATATATATATATATATATATATAACAAAATACAGTTAGAATGAAATTACATGTGTATATATCTCAAAGGTAACATTACTAATCTGGCAAATTTCAATGTGAAAAAAACTGAAAAATGGAATGTGCTATATTTGACCCTTTAACTTTCCAAAACACCATAAAAACTGTTAATGGGTCTCGTGAGACTTTGCTGAATCCAAATATGTGCTTTTTTTGCAGTAAAAGCTAACAGTATTATGACATTTACAGCTAAAATGTGAGGCAGAACTACAATTTAAAAAAAAATATTTTTTTATATTTTGCACAGTTTTTTTGATTTTAGTCATAACTAGAAAAGCTACAATTTCTGGGGAAATTGTGTGAAGTGTTCTTGCCTCCACCAGTAGTCTACAACTGGAGTGGGCAGAGTAACTTATTTATTTATATAGCACATTTAATTGCAACGTTGTTGCCCAAAGTGCTTCACAGTTACATTAAAACATAAATTTATAAAAGCAGGTTACATTAAAACATACATTAGCAGGTGTACAAAAGGCCCTGTCTACGACATCACTTGCTGCTGCAGCCTGACACAGGTCAGAGTATTTTGGCGGTTGCAATCTTCAAACGGTCGTAAAAACTATAAATCCTACAGCGAAGAGCTTTATATTGTGAGAATCACAAGACCCAGACCTACATTTTGATGCATAGTATGTCTCTGAAGTATTAAAAATGAAGGCACAGTCGCAGTTTAGAAATTGCACTTCAAGTTTGAGCTGGCTAGAGTGAAGCTTCAATGAATGTCAATGGACGGCGTTAGTTGCAAACAAATGGTCATATTGTGAAAACTATCAGTACTATGGCTTAGCCGTGGACATTTTTAGTGGCAGCAGGGATAGCTGAACGTTTTGATATAAGATTTGTGTAGGTGGGCTTGAAAATGCGGGAGTGGTGGCAGTTTAGAAATCATGTCCTGATTTTTCAGCTTTTGCCAGCTCCCACTCTAGTTTTGAACATTTTGTCATTCATTCCTATGGGACAAATTGCGCCACAAGAATGACGATATTCCGTGAACCATTCGGCGAAACGTTCCACAAAGTAATAGCAATCCGATCGGGAACAATCTGCACGTTTTGGTAAATTTTTGTCTATGTAGTGTAAAAACTGTGGGAGGAGTTAGGGTGGCAAATTTGGCTATAATAAGAATAATATATATGTGAGATAACATTACGTGGTCTTGCTATGCAAGAACACTTAATAAGTGTCGGTGCATATAATATGAAAGAGGTGAATTACAGTTGAACAGACATATAGCGCAAATTCCAGCTTTTGTTTACATTTTGTTTTGATCAGAGCATGTACTATTGACTCCGTCCTGAAGGAGTTAATGTACAGAGCTTTTTCATCTACTATATATTTTTATAAATAATGAATGAATAAGTGAAAATACTGTGTACATTTACATAACATTTTTATAATGGTCTGCAAAGCAACATATACACAAGTTTAATGTAATAGGATATGGTTCTTTGCTAGGTGTACACACCTTTCAAATACAAGTTATGCTATTACCCCCCCCCCCCAACCAACACATACTCGGTAGTAAACGCATAATGGTACTTGGTAGTGAATGCATAAAGCGAGGATAAGGTAAGCGGCTAATAAATCCACATCAGAGTACAAAAATACATACAAAGACAATTGAACTCTTACCTATAGCTGGAATTAGATTTATTTTCTTTAAATTGGCAGTGGCATTCAAAATATTTTCTGGCATATTTTCATTACTATAAAACATGAAAAAATATAATGTTTAAGCACTGTAAACATTTTGTAACATTCTCTTAAAATAATTACCAGAAACATTACTAATGCACACAGTCTCCCTATAACTTCTATTAATCCATATAAAGTCTCCCTAGAACTCCTCCTATTACTCCATAAACATTCTCCTTATAACTCCCCATATGACTAGATATAACCTCACTATAACTCCTCCTATTACTCCATATAACCTCCCCCTATAACTCTTCCTATTACTCCACATAACCTCTCTCTATAACTCCTATTACTCCATATAACCTCTATATAACTCCTCCTATAACTCCTCCTATTACTCCATATAACTCCTCCTATTACCCCATATAACCTCACCTATTACTCTTTATAACTCCTCCTATTACTCCATATACCCTCTCCCTATAACTCCTCCTATTACTCCATATAAACTCTCCCTATAACTCCTCCTATTACTCCATATAACCTCTCCCTATAACTCCTCCTATTACTCCATATAACCTCTCTATAACTCCTCCTATTACTCCATATAACCTCTCCCTATAACTCCTCCTATTACTCCATATAACCTCTCTCTATAACTCCTCCTATTACTCCATATACCCTCTCCCTATAACTCCTCCTATTACTCCATATAACCTCTCCCTATAACTCATCCTATCACTTTAGGACGTTGTGGTATGCTGTGTTATCAGTCCACTGATAAAACAAAAAAAAAAAAAAAGATTAAAGGGACACTATAGTCACCAGAACAACTACAGCTTAATTTAGTTCTGGTGAGTATAATAGTTCCCTTTCAGGCTTTTTTCATGTAAAACATTGCCTTTTCAGAGAAAAGGAAGTGTTTACATTGCCCCTAGGGACACCTCCAAGTGGCCACTACTCAGCCACTTGAGGTGCTTCCTGGCAGTGGGCTGCACAGTAGGCGGCTCTGCCATTTAGCGTCCCCACGCTCTACATGGGGATGCTGAATTTTTTTGATTCAATGCATCTCTATGAGGAGGTTCTAATAGGCCAAGACAGCATTTGGCCCGCCCCCATGCCAATTTTAGCCAATCCAACCCCATGGGAAAGCATTGGATTGGCTAAAAGTCAGCCATTTTGATGATGTCACAAGCGGGCGGAGCCAACAAAGAAATCCACGCGGCGCTGGAAATAAGGTGCGTTTTAAACTTTTATAGGGGGGCTAAGAGGGGGCAATGTTTGTGTTCCTGACCCTATAGTGTTCCTTTCAATGAAAGCTAATTCATACAGCACTTACACATCCACGATTAGCACAGACTCTCCCCAATGTCGCTGTTTAACCAGGTCAGTAAGGTATTCAGGATCCGGAGAGGGAACATCAAGAGAGTCAATAATGTAGAGATCATCCTATAATGGAGAGAAATATAAAATCGGCAATACTCTGATGACTTGAGATACAGCATTATAGCCATATGCACTACAGCCCGAGAAAATATAATCAGAAAACCCCTAAAGTTACACAATTACTTTTCTTCTTACTGGTCAGTCAGCAGTAACAGAACCAGAATCTGCTTATCATTTATTTTAACTACTGTCCAGGTCCAGTTTTATCTTCCACAATAAATAAAGGAAAGTTAATAGACTTACCAATCCCAAGAAAACGAGAGACTTAAAGGATCACTATAGGGTCAGGAACACAAACATGTATTCCTGACCATATAGTGTTAAAACCCACCATCTAGCCCCCCTGTGCTCCTCATGCCTCCATAAATATAGCAAAATCTTACTGTATTCCAGCCTGAAACTATAGATCTGCATGCGGTTTGCCTCAGGAAAAACAAGCACTCTGCTGACATCATCAGAAGTGGTGGCCTGATCAGATCACAATGCTTCCCCATAGGATTGGCTGAGACTGACAAAGAGGCAGACCAGGGGCAGAGCCAGCACAGTTCAAACCCAGCCCTGGCCAATCAGCATCTCCTCATAGAGATAAATTGAATCAATGAATCTCTATGAGGAAAGTTCAGTGTCTGCATGCAGAGGGAGGAGACACTGAATGTTTGGATGCATTTTAGGAAGCCATGACCCAGGAAGGATCTCTAACAGACATCTGAGGAGTGGCCAGTGAAGTTATCACTAGGCTGTAATGTAAACAAGGCATTTTCTCTGAAAAGACAGTGTTTACAGCAAAAAGCTTGAAAGTAATGATTCTACTCACCAGAACAAATTCAATAAGCTGTAGTTGTTCGGGTGACTATAGTGTCCCTTTAAAACAACACCTAGTTCTTCTATATTAAATTGCATTCAGGGTACCTGAGCAAGTTTTGTGGTCAGGGCCATCTTCAAACCCAGAACCCGGACCTTCATAGGCAGCATGTAGTAATAGCTTGTGGGTCCACGTGGTCCATGAGTCACACCACCTGAGGAACAGAGGAGTTGAATATAATTTCAGATAGTGAAATAGACAATGATAATGTTCTTAATATTACCAACTAATGCATAAGAATACGCAGGTAAGCTTTACTTAAGGTTATGATTACTTAATTTACTACAATATTCTAAGAGACTAACCTCCTCTCCAAAGAGGTGACCTGATGCTCCCATGTCGAGCTCGCCCACTGCCCTTCTGTTGCCAAGGCTTCCTCCCACCTCCCCTGACTTCTGCTCGCGTCTTGGCCTTGGCATAGCTCTGTGGGATAGATTGACTTTGTATTAATAATAGATTATGTATACACTGTGTGCATGGGTGGAGTGTGCATGTCCGCCCACTCCCAGTACATAAAAGATGGCGGTCCTTTGCCTTCATTTGAAAGGAGATTATAATTTTACTAGTTTTAAAGCTGTTGCACGACACTGCATCAAGTATACATTTACGATAGCCCCTGTAGAGTTCCTGATAATATACCCTACTGTCTGAGGATTCATCCTTCTGCATCCAGTGGATACATAAGGAAACTTGCAATTACTGTCATTCCATTGTTACAGTTGAGTCTCCTAAGCCTGCAAGTGGCACAGACACTAAAATCTTTGGTCTTTGGTAACTTCCTGGTCTGGAGAGAGTCCACTGTGGAATTTGCAAGTCTTCTGGATATACAGCAAACTCAAGAACGTTAGAAATACATACATATTAGGTCTCAATAAAAAGACCAATTAATTTAAAATATAAAATTGCAATTTGGCACAGTAGAAAATGCAGTTTAAATACACACATTCAAGGAGAAAAATTGAATACTTACAATTCTTTTGAAGTTTCTCTGCCATGTTACTACTTGATGCAAAATATCAATCCTGGAAATTACAAAGACAATAAGAAATTTAGCACAAAACACTGTCAGGATCATAAGCAGAAAGAACTAATCTGGGATTCCACTGCCCCCAACCGGTCATTCCATGATGCCTTTAGATTGCATCTGGCTATGTCATTTGTATCCAGGCCATAGTATTTTACAGACAGTGAACATTCAAGAACCTAATCTACAGTGAGACATCTAGCTTGTGTCTGACCTGGGAGGGACTGAAAACACGTCTGGGTGCAGATGGACCAGCCCCAGTTGTTGATCCTGTGGATCTTTTAGAGTCTCCAACCAGACTAGCTTAGGTGATATATGAGATGGGACCGGGATCTTGCATTCTCGCAGGATAGGCTGAGACAGGTCGACAGGAGGTCGCTGCACTACAGGTGACAGAGAGAGAGAGGGAGGAAAAAGAAAAAAAGTTTAAGCAGTCTGTTTACCAATTAAAACATCTAGGGCAAGCATGTCAATCTTTGTGGCCCACCTGCCCTGGGGCCGCTTTGTGCGGTGGCTGCAACAGATTCTTGTCTTCCCTCCCACGCAGGGCCGGCGCTACAGGCAGCCGAACATGACCCGAGGTGCGCAAAGATGTCAGAGTGACCAGTGGGAGCACGGAGAACCCTACTCCTGCCAGTTACTCTCTGCAGCAATGACCATGGTAGTAATTTACCAAACTGGCTGGCTGTGTGATGAAAAAAAAAAAAAAAAACGTGCTGCCAATGAGGGAGGGGGTGGAGCAGGGAGGAGAGACCGCGGCCAATTTCTTCATGAGCTAAAGGCCACTGGGATACGTGACATATCACAGCGGTCAACTGCTGTGGAGAGCGGAGGAAAGCTATCACAGTGCAGCAACACTTGGGGGACCTCTGTTTAGAATTATAAGAAACAGTAAGTCTGTGTGTGTGTTAGACCCAGTGTGTGTTTAAGTGACAGTGAGTGAGTGTGTGACACAAGGGGGTAAATAAACCACAAAATCAGGAAAGGTGGCAAAAACGAGAAAGGTGGCAAGATGCACAAAAGGGGCAAAACAATGGGAAGAGGGGCAAAAGGGGGAATATTAGACAGACAGGTGAAGAGAAATTTTGGGGGCAGCAAAATGTGTCTTCACCTGTGTAGACAGAAGTCCTTGCCCCTGCCCTGCTCCGACGGCCAATCGCATGCTCCCTTTTTGTGTAGTGCAGTGTAATTTGAGGGAGGGGGCAGCGTATTAAATTAGGGAAAGGAAGGGGGCAGCGTATTAGAGTGGTGATAGGTGGGGCAGTGTGTTAAATTGGAGGGAGAGCAGTGTATTAAATTAGAGTGGTGGGAGGGGACAGTGTATTAGATTGAGTCTGCATGGAGGCGCTGAACGCTCTCCATGGAGATGTTGATTGGCTGTGTAGCTTTTTACCACACATGCACAATAGACTCCCAATGCTCGTAGGACTTCAAAATCAACAAGATAACAATTTGGTTTTTTTTAACAGCTGTGCAACCGCATACATTCACCATTTCAATCCCATTACTAAAATTTTCTTAATAAGTCAAGGTAGTTGGATTGAAACATTGGCTATATGCAAGTGCGCGTCTCCTTAAAATAAATTCACTCTTTTGTTTACTTTGAAGCCCTACGAGCGCGAGGACGTCCAGTGTCAGTTAGGCAACTTTTTTTATACTGTACTTTTCTAAATAAACCTAAGTTTCTATGAAAACTGAAGTTTGTTTTTTTGAGGCCTACGTAAACTTAAACCTTGTTTATTTGGCCCCTCTTAGCCTTTGAGTTTGACATGCTTGATCTAGAGGACACCTATTAAAACTCCATTTTGCAATCAGATTTCTATCATACCAGGTTTACCACATAAAGAGTAGCTATTACTTAATAAACTATGACATTTTTTATATTCCATTTTTGTTTGTAGTATTTTGGTACTTGGCACTAAATATGTGGATACGTTACAGAACCCTAAAGAATATATAATAAATATTTAATGACACTGACTATTAGAAGCATCATCAGGTGATTTAAACTAGTTCATAGTACAAAATTACTAATTTATGTTCAGTCAGCCCGAAATAACGAATATAGCTCAAAAAAAGATTTGAAATGCCAAGTTTAATCTATATAAGACCACAAGCATTTGTTTTTTGGAGCGTTAGACAGTATCTACTTAAAAAAAGATAAAAAAAGAGAACTTTTATACAAGCTTCACATACTTTTAGTTGGAACATTTTTTAAATCTGGAGGTAGAATGAGGTTCGGGGGTATTCCTGACTCAGCAAACGAGGAGGAGAATAACTGTAAAGAAAACAAAATAAAGATTACTGAACATACTTTACATTTTAGATAGCCAAATCCCAGCAAAAACTAATAAATAATAGTTTACGTTCATAACAAACACACTTTGACATGGCAGTATTATAAGCAATAAACTAGAAAAGCTAAAATTTCTGGGGAAATTGTGTGAAGTGTTCTTGCCTCCACCAGTAGTCTACAACTGGAGTGGGCAGAGTAACTGTTATCATTTACATAGCACATTTAATTGCAACGTTGTTGCCCAAAGTGCTTCACAGTTACATTAAAACATACATTTATAAAACAGGTTACATTAAAACATACATTAGCAGGTGTACAAAATGCCCTGTCTATGACATCACTTGCTGCTGCAGCCTTGACACAGGTCAGAGTATTTTGGCGGGTGCCATCTTCAAACGGTCGTATCTTAAAAACTATAACTCCTACAGTGAAGAGCTTTATATTGTGAGAGTCACAAGACCTAGACCTACATTTTGATGCAACAATCCACACGTTTCGGTATATTACTGTCTATGTAGTGTAAAAACTGGGAGGAGTTAGGGTGGTAAATATGGCAATAATAATAATAATAATAATAATAATAATAATAATATATATACACGTGAGATAACATTAAGTGGTCTTGCTATGCAAGAACACTTAAACAAAAGCCAAGTTAAATTGTAGATCATGTGGGCAGCAGGTGTGTGAATATACAAGTTATTGCAAAGCAGCGATGGTTCTGAAGTTTATTTCGCAATGATACTCCTTGGGATGACTGTTCATCATGGGAAATGTGTTTGAGGATATCTGGGATTTCAAGGTTAGCAGTCACTGCTTTAAAAAAATAAAAATAAGCAATGAGTGTTGATTGGATCATAAGCATTAGCTTGGTAAACACATATCTACCTAGTGTAATTGCATTATAAATGCACCTGTTTCTATCTCTTAAAAAATAAATTAAGCAAGATTCCTAAATATGCATACACCCATCTGTGCTGCACATTATTCAGAGCAAGCCCAAAGTATTTTATGTATACCTATAGAAATGTGTATCTGTATACTTCATGCAGCTTGGATTCAATTATTAACAGTTTTCTTAATGGTTAAGATTGAGGGGTGAAGTAGCACTAACAATAAACATTGTTAGCCAGAACCTCCTGCATGGATGGGAAGTGCAGGAAGGACAGGGGGAATTAATAGCAGTATTCCAACAATGATAAAGCTAACAATACAGGAACATTGTATTACTATGTACCAATGAATAAACCTGGGATGCACCATTTAATGTCAGTAACAAATAATAATAATTCCACTTAGGAAATCCTAATTAGGTGCAATTACACTCCAAGCCACCTATTCACTAAAACGCACAATGAAGTAAATAGCTCACCCTTATGCCAGACCCCCTCCAACACGTTAACAAAATCCCCCTGAACATCATTCCACACTGTGCTTCCAGGAAGGTCAGGATGCAGCACACATGTCCACATTCCGGCGCATTAGAATGACGCGATGAAGCCTCTTCCGCCCCTCCTCTGACGTCACTGCACTCTCCCTCCTGTATGAAGGGGGGTGTTTTTTGGGGGGCTGATTCACATGAAAATCATATATAGGCTAGCTGGAGCTCTGTTACAAAATTAGGCATTTTCTGGCATCCCATTAACTAAACTATGATGCCCTGTCAATTTAAGCATACCTCCAAAGTGTCCCTATTTAAGAGACACAGTCCTTAGTTTGGGTTCAAATTGCCCTTTCCCTTTTTTTTTTTCCTATCATAATGTTCTTCTTTTCTGGGGGTTCCATATTGTTGCTGTGTCTGAGTGTATAACAGAATTTCATAGCAATAAGACGCTCAGTAATGTGTCTTTAAAATGCAATAACTGTGTTTATTATTATTATTATTTATAAAGCGCCAACAAGTTCCGTAGCGCTGTACAATTGGTGGACTAACAGACACGTATTTGTAACCAGACGAGTTGAACGCACAGGAACAAAGGGGTTGAGGGCCCTGCTCAATGAGCTTACATGCTAGAGGGAGTGGGGTAATGTGACACAGAAGGTAAGGGTAGGGTAGAGAAGTAGGTTGTTAGGATAGTATTCATTGAGGGTTAGTGTTTTGTTTTGATGATAGTTGCAGGAGAGGAATCAGGGAACCAGGAGAAAAAGCTGTACACAGTTTAATTGATATGCTTTTCTAAAGAAGTAAGCTTTCAAAGATTTTTTTGAAGAAGTGGAGATTGGGTGAGACTCTTTAAGGTGAGCATTAGAGGTGGGAGTACGAACAGAGGTTAGATGTAGGCTTCCAGCAGAGCGTAGAGGCCTAGATAGGACATGTTTGTGTATTAGGGAGGCTAAGTAGGTTGGAGCAGCATTGTGTAGAGATTTGTAAGCAAGTGTCAGCATCTGAAATTGAGCCCTATATCTTACAGGAAGCCAATGTAGGGACTAACAAATCTGACTAGAAATCAGTCAGTTGCATAAATTTTATTAGTAAGTCACTTAATGCGGCACTGTCACCATCTAGGGATTTTTCATAATTTGCAGAGACCCCCGACGGTGACATCGCCGCTAGTTGTCTGGTGGCCCAAGAAGGGCGAGGAAAGGTTTACTTTCCTGAAGCAGTCCCTTGTGGGTGCTGCCATCTTTTTGCGGATGGTCGCCCTCTGTTCACCAAGATCTGACATCACTGCTGCAAGCTCGTTCATGCACGAGTGTACAGCACTGAGGTATATGCGAATATACAGCTAATATCTCTGCAGTCATCACTGGCTAGGAGATTGACATATCGAGATGGTGAGATCTCCGCCTAAAGTGTCTAGAAGTGTCAGGCGTAGGAAATTGCAACACAGTCACTATGAGCATATTATCTTCATGAAATACTCATTTTGGAGGGGGGGTGGCAGACCAACGTTAAAGGACCACTCTAGGCACCCAGACCACTTCAGCTTAATGAAGTGGTCTGGCTGCCTGGTCCAGCTAGGCTTAACCCATTCTTTTATAAACATGTTTATCAATGGGTTAAGCCTTCCCCCAAAGCCTCTAGCGGCTGTCTCATTGACAGCCGCTAGAGGCGCATGCGTGCTTCTCACTGTGCAAAATCACAGTGAGAGCACGCAAGCATCCATAGGAAAGCATTGATAATGCTTTCCTATGTGACCGGCTGAATGCGCGCGCAGCCAGCCGCATGGGAGGAGAAGAGGAGGATCGGAGGAGTAGAGCTCCCTGCCCAGCGCTGGAAAAAGGTAAGTTTTTATTCCTTTCCCCCTTCCAGAGCCGGGCGGGAGGGGGTCCCTGAGGGTGGGGGCACCCTCAGGGCACTATAGTGCCAGGAAAACGAGTATGTTTTCCTGGCACTATAGTGGTCCTTTAAACATTTTCTCAGAACAACCCAGCATTGGTCACACTCCTAGCCGCACCACAAATCGAAGTGTCCCTCTTTATCCATCATCCAACCTTTATTTGTTCTTCTATTTTAAGTTGAAAGGGTTATCCAGTTGTGAAGTTTAATGAATTCAAAATTTTAGAACAAAATAAATTAATTAATTCAGAAATTTTGGCCTAAAACATGGGTGCCCAAAAGCTAGATGTCCAGCTGTTTTAAAAATACAGCTTCCATTAAGCGTTGTCATTTTAAAACCATTCTACAGGTATGCAAAGCATCAAGGGATTTGTAGTTCTGCAATAATAATAATAACTAGTATTTATATAGCGCCTTTCTCCCAGTGGGACTCAAATCGGTTTTCAGCGCATGCTCTCAGAATTAACCGAATCGGCAAATGAATAGTAATAGATGTTATTATTACCCACCAATTGTTGGTACTTCTTATGAACCAAGTAGATGCAACATCTGGGGATCTACCTTTTGCACACCCCTGGCCTAAACAATGACATTCACTGTGAATTCTCAGCAATTCATACTTTCCTGAATATCCCTAATGGATAACCAGGTCTCTTAAATATGGAAAGGTAATTAAATAGAGGTTAACACAGTAAAGGAGTTTAAGCATGCGTGGGATAGGCATAAGGCTATCCTAACTATAAGAAAAGGCTAGGGACTAATGAAAGTATTTAGAAAATTGGGCAGACTGGATGGGCCGAATGGTTCTTATCTGCCATCACATTCTATGTATATGGAAACATTACTGGGGCTTATACTCTGCTGTCTTTAGTGCTTATTTTAAAGAGAAACTATAGTGCCAGAAAAACAAAGCTGTCGTTCCTTTCCCCCCATCTCCCCCAACCCCCCACCATTTCCCCCCGTGTAACATGAGAAAATCCCTTCTGTCACTTACCTTGTTCCAGTGCCGATGTCTCTTGGTGCTTGCTCAGGGTCTGTCTTCACTCCTCCCCACCGACATCAGCCGGCAGGGGCCACCTAATGCGCTTTCTGGCGCTGGACATCCTTATACATAGCGTGAGGACATCCAGCGTCAGTTAGGCGACCAAAAGTCGCCTAAAGACCCGGAAGTCCCTCTAGTGGCTGTCTGGTAAAACACTAAAATAATTACCTTTCCAGATTTAAGAGACCTGGGGATATGCACCCAGACCACTTCAATGAGCTGAAGTGTCCGTTTAATCTTTTCTTGTAATGGTTACTACAACCCTTTTTTTAAATGCTAGTATTTCAATTTCATTTGCCTTGTTGGCATTACTAATTAGGTCTACTCCTTACAATGTAGCCAACATAGGCAAAGCTCCCGGTGCTCCTTTCCACACCTCGTCTTATGTCACAGGCTCACTAGCATTTGATTGGACCTTTCTCACAGGCTTTGAGCGAATGCTTCTACAGTGCGGGAAAGGAAGGGAGGGATGGACAGCAGCAGAGCCAGATTAGAATAGGGGCTGATGGAGCTGCAGCTCCAGGCCCATGGCTACTACTCTTCACATACTTTTGCTTAAGTTTGAAAACTTGTGTGGACTGACAATGAAATTAGTTAAGTATGAAAACTTGTGTGGACTGCCAATGAAATTAGTTAAGGTAAAGCTGACTTTGCGCATTATGCAAATACCCTTGCTGCTTCAGTCTCTTTAACACTGTGGCATGTTCCCTTTCTTCTACACTCACTACATATACCTTTTCTTTGTCCCAGACTGTATAATAGTAGCTTCTGCCTGCTAGTAGCAGGTTAGGAGAGGAGTGGACAAGTAAGTAGTAGGGGACAGTCCTTAGAAAGGGTGGAGCGAACGCATCATTTGACGCATTTATGCCAAGCTCATGGTGCTAACTGCATAGAATGCCCTTAGCAATAACACTCCCAGTAAGGGGCCTTTAAACTACAATAAATCTATTTATAGATCAATCTGTGTAAATAGGATACATTGTTCTTGTTCTAAATTCCATTTTCGTTGCATAAATTCTTAATAGTAAGTCACCTAAATTTTTTTAGATCAGCCCCGTAATTGGCCAAACTCACATCCCTAAAATAAAGTGTCTCTCTTTTTCCATATGAAATGTTGGGCAGTATGTTTATATATAGGGCAAGTAAGTCCAAGGCCGCCCACTCTGCCCACTTCTCTATCATGATCTTGCTTTACTTATTCCCACTCCCTACGCATTTACCAACAACTGTGGTTGAACCAAGGGGCTGGCCAACAGGTGATGGTGTAAGAGGTGGCCTCTCTAGTTTTTGTCCACGTTACCTGTATTGTGTGATATATTGCTATCAAATAGTACAGTCTCCAGTATCTTCTATCAGCCAGTGGGAACCTTTGCTATGGTCGCACATAGTTCCAAACCTCATAAAAATAAAGTCATGGAGCTGGGTGCTTCTACTGCTCCTGCCCACATTTTATGTCTGGTGGGATGGGAATGATTGACAGAGCAGGGGTCTGCAGGATCCCTGATAGCCTATAAGGTGTCATACTTGGACTGGTTATTTGAACGAGTGTTAAAACCTTCTACACCTATGTTAATTTATGGATATTAAATCCTCTGAGGTCCTAATTAAAGTGACGCCCACTTGAGATATGCTGTTTTGGCTTACTTTATGGTGTGCTATTGTACCCGTTGAGGGATATTGAAGAGTTATGACACATTATATCAGTAACCAGGGCTGCCATCATATGGCCCAGGCCCCGTATGGCAAATATCGCAATATATCTGTACAGCTGCTGGGAGGGGGGATCGTTGATGCTTTGTTCGCTGGTGAGGGAGCCCGAAATGCTGTCTGTCTCCTCCTCCATAGGGTCTTCCTCCTCTCTCATGAGCCCTGCTGTGGGGTGTATATCATTGTGGTTACCATGGCAACGCTTAAATGCACTCTGCCAGGCTAATGAGAACACTGTGGGCACCCAGCAGAGTGCAATCAGGAGCCTGCAAATACCACCAGAGTGTCCCCCTCTCTCTGGCCAGAGGTAAGTGCAGGGAGGGGAGAATATTATTTTTATATACACAAAAATGTTTTAATATATTTATTTATCAGCAACCTTGTCAACAACCAGTAACAGCTGTAAAGACAATTGCTTATTAAAGGGACACTATAGGCAAAACAACTTTAGCCTCCTAGACCCTACAGGAGCCCTCTGTTCCCAGTGCAGGATTACTATTCAATTTACAGAGTAGGAAATATAAACTTCTACACCAAGTTAACATCTGATTGGAAATGGAACCAATTTTTTTCATGCATGCTGTGTCAGTCACAGCAAGGAGAGGTGTGGCTACGGCCACATAAACAGAAACAAAAGTGATTTAACGCTTAAATGGCATTTAATTGAGCAGTGAGACTGCAGGGCCATGATCTATAAACCAAAACTGCTTTATTTAAGGAGCATTGTAGTATTAGGAATGCAAACATGTATTACCAACACTGTAGTGTTGGACTACCTATTTATGTGTCCAGCCCCCTCCGAATACAATTAAAAGGTATTCAACTTACCTTTTTACAATCACCATGCTGATCCTACCTCCATGACTTAAATCATCAGTCTTGTTGATCTCAACCATCGGGAGGCAAATTAAGCAGTTGTGGTACTGGTGACTATAGTGTAACTTTAAGATAACGTTGTTTGGTGCCTATAGTATTCCTTTACGCATTTTTGGTTAATAATTACCAGATTTTACTATTAACATGACGTAAAGTCATGATTTTATTAATGACACGGAGGCGAGTATAATGCATTCTCTTTCTTTATTATACTCCCAGCAGCAAGAAAAAGGGAAGTATGAGAGAATAATAGAAAAAAGAAACCATAACAATAGCCTGGTAACAGTAGCACCAATCAGCATCCAGTATAATCCATATAGGTGTAGTGCTCCTTGACTCCTCCTCTTTCTGCGTAGATCCTGAAGACCATTAGTGCAAATTCCAAGGTATTCCAACCAGAAATGCAAATTCACGAACCAAAACCATAGCTGGAACTTCAATATAGAACAGTTTCAACCGCCAACTCTCAAGTTGTATTCAAGCTAAAAGAGAAGGAAAATATGGTAATATCGAAATCTCGTGACTGCTATTCCGCAATTAACAACTCGTCAACCATGTTAATCAATCCATGTAAATATATCAAGTTCGTCAACCATGTTGCTAAATCGAAATAAATATCATATAAGTCATATTCATTGAATACTTACTCAACTGTGCCATGAAGGATCTTACTTACCGTATTAAGTCATCCTAAAGGCCCCATGTCTAGGTTGCAACTTAATCACCACCCTGGGTATGGTGGGTGGGAATTATACTCGCCTCCGTGTCATTAATAAAATCATGACTTTACGTCATGTTAATAGTAAAATCTGGTCATTTTATTAAAGACACGGAGGCTCCTATTATGCTATTTTAAAGCTGAGCAATCACTGAACTGGAAATGTGTTGCACTGGGCGAAAATAGAAATTATGAAATGTAGGCTCATTCGACCAGTCGCCTGCCCGTAGGATATCCTCCAATTTACAACCTATCATGGAGGCTTTAGAGGCCATAGCCCCGTGAATGGAGTGTGAGGAAAAAATTGAGGTGTCTATGCCTGCCATTGACATCAACCATTTGATCCAACAAGCTAAAGTAGGAGTAGATACTGGTAGGTGAGGTACTTTGAACGAGATGAATAATGGATGGGTTTGCTCTGGACGGAGCGAGGCCGTACGATGCTCGTATTCCTTCAGACATAACACAGGGCACAAATTTGGGTTGTCCGGAAACAACGGGTAAAAAACTTCCTTAGTCGAGGATTTTGTCCTACGTGAAATATTAAAGGATACTCCGTTTGGGACAAAAACGCGTGCATGCCAGTCTAACGCTCTGACATCAGCAACCCGTTTACATGAAAGTAAACAAAACAGCATCAGCAGCTTGGCCGACAATTGCTTTAGAGAAAGTTCCTAGTTCACTGGCCAAGATTTGATCAAATGAAAGATCAAATTGACCTCCCAAAAGGAAGAATATCGAGTTTGAGGAGGTCGAGTAAGACGGATGCTTTTTAGTAAACGACAGATAAGAGCATGTTTACCTATTGGGGTGCCATCCAACCCCATATGTCTCGCTGATATGGCTGATCTGTACAGATTTATAGTACAAAAGGCTTTTCCTTCCTCAAAGAGTAGGGTCAGAAACTGTAGGATTGCTTTTGTAGGAGCTGATATGGGATCCATTGACTGTCCCACGCACCAATTAGTCCACTTCTCCAAGCCGACCCGTAGGCACATCTGGTACCTGGTGCCCACGACTCTGCCAAGAGACTGAGTGTCGTCTGCGAAACCTCCTCAAGATTCCATGATCTCCTGAAATGAGCCATGCCATCAGTTGAAGTAGACCCAATTCGGCCAGTTCGTGACTCATTCCCTCTGGGTTGGTCAAGAGGTAGGGCATGTCCGGCAACAGCTGTGGGAAATCTATCGACATTTCCAATAACTGAGGAAACCAAGGTTGTGACCTCCATAACGGGGTTACAAGCACCAGCATTCCCCTGGAATATCGAAGGACCGCCAGGGTCCGAGAAATGAGGTTGAAAGGGGGGAAAGCGTAGTTCTTGCCCTTGGTCCAGTCCTGTAGGAATGCATCTGTCACCAGAGCATCTGGATCCGGTCTCCAAATGAAGAAACGAGGAAGCTGGGTGTTTAGACGAGACGCAAAGAGGTCTATATTGAAAGGGCCCCAGAGTCGAGAGAGGCGCTGCAAAATCATTGGGTGGAGATGCCAATCCCCTGTGTCCCGAAGGTATCGGGAGTTCCAATCTGCCATCGTATTGTCCTGCCCCGGAATGTATTCTGCTATAACCGAAATGCTGTGTTCCAGGCAATAGTGCCAAAAATCTCGAGCCATCAGCGCGAGCAACTTCGATTTCGTCCCTCCTAGGTGGTTGATATAACGCACCACTGAGATGTTGTCCATCTTGATTAAGATCAAGCATGAAATGCCTGTGGGGGTCATACTGCGAATGGCAAAGGAAGCTGCTAATAGTTCTAGGCAGTTGATGTGTAACAGCGATTCTTCGTTTGACCATCTGCCACTGGTGGAAACTGACCCACAATGCGTGCCCCAGCCGTGTAAGCTGGCGTCTGACTCTATGACCAGGTCCGGCATCGATCCAAATATCGCCCGTCCGTTCCATGCCTCCATGTGGGCTAGCCACCAGTCCAGCTCTTCCCTGGAGTCTTCGTCCAATATAACACAAGTTTCGTATGAGGCTTTGAGCCTTTGTAGGGCACGATAGTGTAAAGGTCCCGGCAGGGCCGGACTGGGAGAAAAATTTGGCCCGGGCATTTTTTTAACACAGCGGCCCACTAAGAAGGGGGCGGGGCAGAGGAGGTGTGTTTTGTCATCACTAATGACAAACACGCCCCCTCTCAAAGTGAGCATGTTGGTTCAATGCTCTCCCAGGGCAGACCATGAAGAGCTCTAGCATGAGAAAAAAGCTCTGTATTTGTTCTGCAAAGTGCAAGCAAATTTAAAAACATGCTTGCACTGTGTTTCCTTGCAACTTGTCTCTGGCGTCTCTATAAATGGATACCAGGAGACAAAAATGCCAGGAAGGAGTATTGTGCATGTGTTTGGAGCCTGCTTGTGGTATTGCGTGTGTGTAGAGTGAGCTGATTGTGGTGTGGTATTGTGTAATAAGGTTGGTTTTAGTCATGTTGTGTTTGTGGTGTAAAGTGGTGTAATGTGATGCATATGTGGCTATGGGCTGTACAGAATGTGTGTATTGGGGATATAGCAAGTGTGTGCATACAGGCTATAGTGTGTGTGTGTATATATATATATAGGTGATGATGTGTGTGTTTAGGGGTGTAGTATGTGTTTGCTTACAAGGAATCTAGTGTGTGTATAGGTGATCCAGAGTGTGTATGTTAAGAGTGTAGTGTGTGTGTATATATTTTTTTATTTATTTTTGGAAGTATTGTGTATGTGTGTGGTGCAGTGTTTTGGGGGGTTCTGTGTGTATGTGAGGGGTGCAGTATGTGTGTGTGTGAGAGTGCGGTGTGTGCGACAGTGCCGTGTGTGCGAGAGTGCCGCGTGTGATGGGTGTGAGAGTGATGGGTGTGAGAATGATGGGTGAGAGAGTGCTGTGTGAGATGGGTGTGAGAGTGCTGTGTGTGTGAGAGTGCTGTGTGAGAGAGTGCTGTGCGAGAGAGTGCTGTGTGAGAGAGTGATGTGTGTGTGAGAGTGCTATGAGAGAGTGCTGTGTGAGTTAGTGCTGTGTGTGAGAGTGCTGTGTGTGATGGGTGTGAGTGCTGTGAGTGAGAGTGCTGTGAGTGAGTGCTGTGTGTGATGTGTGTGAGAGTGATGTGTATGAGAGTGCTGTGTGTGATGGGTGTGAGAGTGCTGTGTGTGATGTGAGTGACAGTGCTGTGTGTGAGAGTGCTGTGTGTGATGGGTGTGAGAGTGCTGTGTGTGAGAGTGCTGTGTGTGATGGGTGTGAGAGTGCTGTGTGTGATGGGTGTGAGTGCTGTGTGTGATGGGTGTGAGAGTGCAGTGTGTGAGAGTGCTGTGTGTGAGACTGCTGTATAAATGTTAGAAAGGATTGTGTGTGTGTTGGGGGGGCAAAAAAAAACAGGCATTAAATCCCCCCTCCCTTCATACCTTTAGCCTGGGAGGGGGGGACCGGCATGCTGGCACCTGGAAGGCAGTGTTCCCTGGTGGTCCTCGTGGGTGAGTGAACTCTAGCCTGTGAGGCTAGAGTTCACTCTCGCGAGATCCGGTCGTTGCCATGGCAACGCGCCGGATCTCGCGAGAGGAACCCGGCGGAGCTG